CGAAATCCGGTTCTGATCCAGATTACTATGATCCTAACCACTAAACTATTTTTTCTTTTTTATTTATATCCTTCTTCGATCGAATTTTTTCAACTTGAAAAATCTGTTGCTCAACTTTTAACCCAAACCTCTTTTCTTTTTCCCTTTTTCTGTTTTCCCCATGACGATACGTATTTGTTTCGAAGAACCGATTTTTGAATTTTCTGAACAATAGCTTTACTCTGGTGCGTTTTCTTGGCGTTGGGTGTAATTTATGGTATCACAAATTTTTTTGATTAAAGTTTGGAATGAAATTTTCAGATTTGGTTTATGTCTGCCTGATTTTCACGAAATCATTGTTGAAGACATCAGTTTAGGAACTTTCTATGTGTTATAGATCCCATGGCCTCCGAGTACTTATTTGTACTCATTTTCATCGTTGCTGCGGATTTTACCCCCGTGGCAAACTAAACATGAAAAGTGTTCAGAAAGATTTCGTTTCAGGATACTGCACCACCTACAACTATTTTGATGCGAAATAAAGATATGTGTGGAAAACTGATCAACTAATGAAAGATGCGACATAAACTAATATGATTTTATCAAAATTCTATTTAAAAAAAAGTTGTTCTCAATAATAATTATGGATTGTAGAGATTTTTTAAAGGACCAGAGTTTCATAGTAGAGCCAAATTTTTCAAATTGGACAGGGTATATTTGACATTGTTTACTAAAGCCTATATGAAATGAAAATGAAAATTATTTAAAAATAAGCTTCTCCTGAATCTTTTCTTATTTTCAAGGTTCTTCAATCCATCATATCTCATCCTCCCGACGTCTAGAAAGCATTCAATATCAAATTAGCATTTATCTACAATATGATCATATTCTGGTGACGTCTTCATCGTTCCTATTCAGATAGTGATTAACATTAACATCCATAGAAGCTGAACCAAGCGGTTTCGTACTGCTTAATGTTATCAGACTACAGTAAATATACAAATAAAGAGAGAAAAGGGAGGAGAGGACTTGATTTGTCGTTGTGTATTGGTAGAAGCTAATTTTAAGAATTGGCTGTAAAATAATTGAGCTTATCGAACATTTGAAAAATGGGAAATTTGCGAAAATTTGTTTGAATATTTGTTTCTAACATCAAATTACAGATCAATTTATTTAAAAATTTATGCAAAACGTGCGAAAATGAGCTCATGAAAAATGCTTCGAATAGCAATGATCTATGAAAAATGGTGCTTATACAAAACTGCTTAAATCGTTCTAAAAAAGTGGTTCCAAACAGATACTGCCAGAAACAAGTCTGCCTCGAATGTGGCAAAATTTATTTTGAAGATCATAAAATTTGAAGAAATTAAAAAAAAGCTTTACTTTCTGTAGTTGACTACTATTTTTTTTCCACATGAATTTTGATGCCGTAATGTAAAGACTGTAAAGTTCTCACTAATTCAAAAATGTAGTTTACTTCAACTGTGCAAAAACTTCAATCCTGCAGAAAATAGTTCAGAAGTCTGATCTCTTACCGAGAAAGCGCAACAAGTATTGCAGTAGTAAAAAGTAGTCGTTGCAGCATAACCAAATGATCTTGTTGTCTTCCTCGAGTTCTATGCGTCTTCACCCTCCGTTGCCAACAGATGCCAACAGATGCCTCCTTGTCCTCTCGTTTTTTTGACTGTCCTCTATTCACCCGCCCCTTTGCCTCCCAAACGGACTAGAACTAACATCTCTTTTTTCTTTTCTCTTTCCTCTCTTCTGATGACCGAAGAGAGTGCTAAAGGGGGCTAGTTTTTTGTATGACTCGCTGATCCTCACCGATTCACATTCTATGTTTGTACCCATGCTTTGTGGAATATCCATTACGTAATGTTCACTTCTTCACTTCCTTTCGCATATTTTCACTTTCAATTTTAGCTTCCTTCCCCCCCTCCGTACCAGAGACCGAGCGGGAGATAAAGAGATTTTCAGAGACTGCTGCTATTGCGTTGTAAATTAAAATGAAGAGAGAACAGATTCAGGTTGTAAGAGAGTTTTGAATTTGGAGAAGAAATATGTATATTGGGTCTCTGATTCACATTTCTCACATTTCAAAATTGTTTTTCATTGTTTTTGGGGTTCCCATTGTTTTGGGGGCATGTTCATTCTATTTTCAGATGGTGACGAATATTACAGAAATTCGATATTCTATAAAAATAGAATCTTTAATCAAAAAAGAGTAGCAATTTTTCATTTTATTCAAAAGTAATTGCGAATCAAAGTTTCCCAAATTGTTTTAAAATGAACAACTAATCTAGCCGTAAACACTAATAGAGTGACAGCCAAACTGTAAACTTTGAGCTCATATATCTCATTCGTTGTAAAAGATATCAAAAAGTTGTCAACTGATAAAATGTTTGTCATAATATCAAAAATGTTTTGTCAGTCGACCACTATTTGATAACTTAAACAGGAAATGAGATATATAGGCACAAAGTTGAAAGTTTGAGTGGTACTCTATTGAAGTGTTTCCGGTTTTTTGGTGAATTCAAATGAAAATTGATTTTATCCCCTTCCTACATTTTCAAGACACAAATCAGTTGCAACTTGAGTCATGTTTCTCTTCTATGTCTTTTTTTCCAAATAAATTTGTTCACGAACCCATTTATTTCAAGTGATTGTGATGAGTCAAATGAAGAATCGAACAATCGAATAAAATGGATTTTTTCGCAGAAAAAGAAAAATAGTTCGAAAGATTGCCAAAATATAAATGATCGAGAAAATTATACGCACACACACACACACAAGTTATTCAGATGAATGAGAGAAAACGAGAGAAGATGATTTAACCGAAGAGTTCGTTGGCACGTCGTCTGAATCGGTTCTCGTAGATCACGGAATCTTCTGGATACTCCATTGAAGTAGATCGTTTTCCTGAAAAAAAAACAGTAAATAAAGATTTTTGATCTTGACAAAGCCCTATTTTAAAAGTGTATATTTACTTTTCTCCAAAAAATGTGCATATATACAATGTAACCATGATCTCTCTTTCTTCTCATCGCCGCGACCTTTCTCATTTTAGAAATCTGATCTTTCTCGAATTTCCAAAAGCGCGAACATACTTGCGCCTTTCACACCCCTTATTTGCTGAGCAATTAAGAACAGATTACTGTAGTGCTTACCAAAGAGTTCTCGGCCACGTCGTTTGTTGAACATGCTGCTGCTGCCACGTTTCAGAAGTCGTCTGGAGACATCAATCGAGTCCACTGAAATTTTAAAGACCGGACTGTGTATTGCAATTTTCAGTGTACGATTATCAGTATATAACGGCATTATGCCCCAGTAAAACATTAAAGTAACAACAGTCGGTTTCTAAAAAGAAAATGAAATGAGAGCTAAATCAACAATTGGACGTCTTCCTAGGATTCATGACTCTCAGAAACCGTTGATAATTAACAAAACGCCTTAAACGCTCCATAAAATTACAGTTTTTTTTGTATCTTTTGAAATCATATCATAAATTTTTAATAATGTTTAGAAGTGTTATGTTGTTTTCCGGTTACTAGATTGCAGGTAGTTTTTAAAAACATTCTGAAAGAAACTGAGATCTATTTGGATCTATTTCATCTCATAATTTCCGATTCCTATGTTTTCTCTTTTTTCTTATTATTGTGTCTCTTGAATTTCTCACATTGATTTGGCATTACACGGAACGCTCTCAAATTCATCGGCTCCTCTTCATCGAACCACAATGGCGAAGCGGCAACAATCGAACACAACACTGAAAAAATATAGATCTAGAAGAAGACGAAGAAAATGATTCATGAATTTTGTATTCATCTATTTTTCATTCCGAGACCGGACCCGAAAACACTGAAAGAAAAATGCGAGTCGCGGGAAAAATCGCGAAGGGTGGTAATTTTTGAGAATCCGCACGCGAGGAGATTCGGAAAAAAATGACGTTGGTGTTCAGAGAGAAAGATAAATTCTGGGTACGAATTCTAGGACCCATGATTTAAATTAATGAAAAACGACATATTTCGTTTCGAATGAATTAACCATTTGAAAAACCACCAGAGAATCCTTCAGAAAACATAAAGATTTCGTTGAAACTTGAGAAAAAAGTTCGGCCGAGTACAGTTAGTCGGAAAATGTTAAAAAACAGAAAAAAAAATAGAATGAAGATTCCTCTAGAAGAATAGTTCCTATACTAGGGCTTCGCTGGCAAATTCTGGTCGGACCTAGTAGTATTCCAAAAAATTAATACTAGTAACATTTCAAATTTCAACTTCCGACCAAAATCTGACCATTAGCCGCTGTTCTTGGGCAAGTTCCTGCTAGAACCTGGCCGCACATTTTTAATCAAGTCCAATTTTGGTTTTTTGTTTGTGGTCACTTTTTCGTGATCTATCTGCTCAGGAATTGGTAATGGATCCACCGGACTGTGTATTGCAATTTTCAGTGTACGATTATCAGTATATAACGGCATTATGCCCCAGTAAAACATTAAAGTAACAACAGTCGGTTTCTAAAAAGAAAATGAAATGAGAGCTAAATCAACAATTGGACGTCTTCCTAGGATTCATGACTCTCAGAAACCGTTGATAATTAACAAAACGCCTTAAACGCTCCATAAAATTACAGTTTTTTTTGTAACTTTTGAAGTCATATCATAAATTTTTAATAATGTTTAGAAGTGTTATGTTGTTTTCCGGTTACTAGATTACTTACCGAAGAACAGAAAAACCGTTGAATAGTTCATGATTTCTGCTGAGGGTGTCACACAAGAAGCTTTCACACAACCACTGGAATAGTAGTCGGGTGGGGCTGCTTGAAAGTGAGAATGGATGAATCTCTTTTCGGAGCTGCCGAAAGATATATCTCTGCATTCAAGCCACGCCCACCTATCACATTTCCATTGGACCGCCCGTTTTCGAAAAGCTCCCGAAATGGTGACGAAATAATTAGGGGAAGTGGAGGCGTCGATGGGAAAAGTATCGGTTACTTGAAGAATGATTGAAGATAGAAAATAGGATGAGCTACTTTCGGCACGTCATTGCAAGAAGGGGACGTCATGAACAATTGCAAAGCAAACTTGAAAAGTGTTTGGATGGTACGGGGAAGGGTGTTAAGAAATGAACGATTTGCGTAATCCTAAAACTTTCGTAAGTTTGTTTTCAGTCTGCTCATGCTGGTCTAAAGAACTGTGTGCACTGTGAAACTTTCCCACACATAAACACTCTTGTTTGATGCGAAATGAATGAAGCGATTTCAGATAAATGCTATGGGGTAGGTTTTCAGACAGGTCTTCCTACAGGTTTCCAGTAGACGTGCCTAATTGTAATACTTTTATTTAGAAAGCGTGAATCATTCCGATTCACCCCGTTCCCTATTATTTTCAGGTTGTATTGTAGCGCCCGTTGATTTTGTGGTATTTATACTTGCTGATCGTTTCTTTTGGCCAGGTTTTTGTGGATTTTTTAGTAGATCAGTAAGTGGAAATTATTTATTTCAAAAATTTTATGATCTTAAAAATTTAAAGATTAATTTTTTGTTTACTACCGGAACCGATAGTCTCTGAAAAAAACCGTTCCCACACCAATCACCTTTTTTCGCTGCCCAAGTTCCTCTTGAAAACCGGATAAAGTCCGATTTCCCCTCTCTTTGATATTTGATATGCAATTTTCCGTTTGCATCTCTCAACAGTCTCTCATATCCCAAGCTATGCTTCCATGTTTCTTCGACCATCTGCGTCTTGTGTGGACTGTCCACTTTTATTTGAAGAACAGACCATTTGACTTCCGTTTTTTAATTGCCATTTTCCCTTTAAGATTACACATAAAACTTGTGAAAAGTACAATTTTAGGACGGTGGCCTTTTTTGAAAAATTAGAAAAGTATAATTCCCAAAATGCAGGTTTTCATTTTACTCTGAATTCGTTTTTTTTCTTTCAGAAAATAGTATTAACATATTGAAAATGTCGTCTAATTCACCTGAAATGTTTTACGTTATTCTATATGGAGTGATTTCGGTTACGGTAGTTTCACTATTGTCTCTTGGTGGTGCATGCATTGGACCACTGATGGCGAAAGATGCAAAACATAGGTAAACTGATTTTGAATAATAAAAAATGAGAAAAAAAATAATTTCAGGTGGCTCCATTTTTTTCTGGCAATGGCGATCTCGACCCTCAGTTCCGATGCGATTTTGCATATTATACCGCAGGTGAGTGATTTGTTCAAAAGAGGGTTTGAAGTATTATGTATTTGCCGGTCACAGTTTTTGTTTTAAAAAAAATCGTATTTTTTGTGTTTAGTTTGCCGTTTCATGAACCAAAAATCACATAATTTTTTTTCTATAATTTAGTTTTAAAGAGCTGATAAAAATTGAAAGATTTGATTATACTTTTTTTAATTCGAAATAGCATTCCTTCGAAAAATCACATTTTTACAGGTAGTGGGAGCTCATAGTCACAGCCATGGACATTCCCACGAGCACCATGGAAGCTCTTCCCATGAAAATGTAACAGCTGCACATAGTCATAGTCATCACGAAGAAGAGGATGAGATTATGGCAAGTCTTCTCATCTTTTCAATTCTGAAATCTCAATTTTTCAGTGGTACACCATCACATCAACTCGCAAGAACCTGCTCCGACTCTCGGTGATCGTTCTTTCCATCTACGTTCTTTACTTTGTGGAGTTTTTCATGTTCTACCGGAAAATTCATCTCCACTATTGCTCACCTTCCACAAAGTCTCCTGTAAAGAGCCCATCTGGAATCCAATCTTCACATTCAAATTCAAGTGGAATTGAGGACAATAATAATGGAGAATCCAAAGAAAAACCCAGAGAAGAAGGAGGTCACGAGTTGATTCATTTGCGAGAGGAAGAAGAAGATGGTGGTGAGATTTGTGGACTTAAAGTGAGTCAGAAAATTTTCAAATCTAAAAAATTCTCTATTTTCAGCCACGCGCTCTAATCATCCTATTTGGTGATGGAATTCATAATTTAGTAGATGGAGTAGCAATCGGTGCATCATTTATGATCTCACTAAAACTCGGATTCATCACAACAATCGCAGTGGTTTGTCACGAACTTCCGCATGAAATTGGAGATTTGGCAGTGCTGATTGATTCGGGACTATCAATGGTCACAGCATTAATACTGAATTTACTCTCCGCTCTAACTGCCTACATAGGACTATTTATTGCAATTGTTTTGGGAAAAGATGAAGAAATCGAGACAATATTATTAGCAATTACAGCTGGAATGTTTCTTTATGTAGCATGGGCGGATATGGTAAATTTTTCGTTGGAGGTTTTTAATAACAGTTATTTTCCAGCTCTCACATCTTAAACATGACGCGTTGATGGCTGATCATTGGATGGTGACAAGTATTTTACAATTATCCGGGTTTACTGTTGGATTTCTTCTCATTTTTGGATTAGGATGGTTCGAACACTTGCTCGAAGGATAAAAATGATAATGAACTCACAACTGATAAAACGGGTCCAATAAATATTATTTTTATAAAAACGAATTTTTTCTTGGTTTCCTCAACGACCGGTACAAAGTCGAACATAACCTTTTGTGTGACTTTGCATTAAAATGATAAGAAATTGATAACAATAATGTCAAGAATTTCTAGTTTATTCTTACTTCTAGTGACCTAGTTATGCTGTCTTCTTTTAGCTCAGGTTAGTTGATTTTTTTCTCAAAACTGTTTGATAATTTGTTTTTAGAGAAAGGTCTCAAGTTTTACACAGCTTTCAATGCATTTTTTGCTGTTTCATCATTATGGAACCAAGATTTCGTAATCTTTTCGATTAGTCTCATTTCAATTTTAATTGGTGGAGTATCATATTTGGAATACAAAAAATGTAGATTAACAGGCCTTCCGATCCTAATTTTAGTTATGATGACGATGTGGATTCTGTAAAACTTCACTTTGTTTAAAAAAAACATATTTCTGCTTCAGATCGTTCTTCAAAACATTTTATTGGAACACATTCATTTTTCTACTCTCCGTTTACAACCTATTGATTCTTGTCACTTTATCATTTTCTATTCCATTTTCTGCTTACATTTTGATGGTGGTTTTGTTGCTGGGACAATCTATAGATGACGATTGACAATAAATTGCTCATATGTATTTTATTTATTCACTTGTTTACAAAGCACATATTCTTGCGTCAAAGAACAAGGATAATCCATCCAAACTCCACGAGAAAAACCGAATTCCGAACCGCTATTGACAATGGACAGTGTCATCTGAAATGATATCATGTACTTGCCCCTTTTTATAATAAAATACTTACAACATTACAATACTTTGTATAATCAGCCCCCTGCGCTTTGTTTGGTTTTCCTGGTGCCCAGTTCGAGTATGAAGATTCTCCGATCCACGCCTGATGGACTATGAAAGTGTCGTCATTGGTGCTGAATGCCTCTCAAAAGAACAACAAATTATAAACATAAACGTCTTCATTCCAACTAACTTCTTATCGCCTCATTCATTGCATCATCTGTGATTACTGCAATTTCTCCTCCAAATGCTTCACATCCTGCTTTGGAAGTGACATAGTTTGCAGGTCCCTTCACTATCTGGAAGAGGGATCAAAAAACAAATGTATTGTTTGCCGATGTTTACCCCATAACAACTTCCTTCGTAACTGATCCAAAACTTGTCGCATTTCGGCGAGCAATCACCGGTCACTAATGTTGTTGTTGTTGTGGGAGTTGTGGTTGCTACCGTAGTAGTTGTTGGTGTCGATGTAGTCGTCGTAGTTATGGTTGTTGGTGTTGTCGTGGTAGTCGTTTCCTGTAAGCACATAACGTTATGTGCATGTAGTAATGATTTAGAAAGATGTCGAACAAAATATCGTACCGTTGTAGTCGTAGTTGTAGGAGTTGTAGTAGTTGTGGTAGCAGTAGTAGTAGTCGTGGAGGTTGTGCTAGTAGTGGGTGGAGTGGTCGTTGTTGTCGTTGGAGTCGTTGTTGTAGTTGGCGGTTTAGTGGGATCGGGAATCTCACCACACTCTTTCTTGACGTAAGTTTCTCCAGAAGATGCAGCTGAATTGTTTTAATAAAACAGGGATCTTGTTTGGGGATATAATCTTTTTTTTGCCTCTGATCTAATCGCAGGGACCGAATAATTTCAAATCGACTTGAAAGAGAGAGAAAAAATCTAGGTCATGACCTAGGAAAAACTGGGTCATGACCAAGAAAAAACTGTGTCATGACCTAGAAAAATTGGGTCATGACCGAAAAAATCTAGGTCACGACCTAAAAAAATTGGGTTATGGCTTAGAAAAATTGGGTTATGACCTAGAAAAATTGGGTCATGACCTAAAAAAATTGGGTTATGACCGAAAAAATCTAGGTCACGACCTAAAAAAATTGGGTTATTGCTTAGAAAAATTGGGCTATGACCTAGAAAAATTGGGTCATGACCAAGAAAAAACTGGGTCATGACCTAGAAAAATGGGGTCATGACCTAGAAAAAACTGGGTCATGACCTAGAAAAAATTGGGTCATGACCTAAAAAATTGGTTTATGACCTAGAAAAAATCTAGGTCACGACCTAAAAAAATTGGGTTATGGCTTTAAAAAATTGGGTTATGACCTAGAAAAATTTGGGTCATGACCTAGAAAAAATTGGGTCATGACCTAGAAAAATTGGGTCATGACCTAAAAAAATCTAGGTCATGACCTAGAAAAATTGGGTCATGACCAAGAAAAAACTGGGTCATGGCCTAGAAAAATTTGGGTCATGACCTAGAAAAAATTGGGTCATGACCTGAAAAATTGGTTTATGACCTAGAAAAAATCTAGGTCACGACCTAAAAAAATTGGGTTATGGCTTTAAAAAATTGGGTCATGACCTAGAAAAAATTGGGTCATGACCTAGAAAAATTGGGTCATGACCTAAAAAAATCTAGGTCATGACCTAGAAAAATTGGGTCATGACCAAGAAAAAACTGGGTCATGGCCTAGAAAAATTTGGGTCATGACCTAGAAAAATGGGGTCATGACCTAGAAAAAACTAGGTCATGACCAAGAAAAAACTGTGTCATGACCTAGAAAAATTGGGTCATGACCGAAAAAATCTAGGTCACGACCTAAAAAAATTGGGTTATGGCTTAGAAAAATTGGGTTATGACCTAGAAAAATTGGGTCATGACCTAAAAAAATTGGGTTATGACCGAAAAAATCTAGGTCACGACCTAAAAAAATTGGGTTATTGCTTAGAAAAATTGGGCTATGACCTAGAAAAATTGGGTCATGACCAAGAAAAAACTGGGTCTGACCTAGAAAAAAATGGGTCATGACCTAGAAAAATTGGGTCATGACCTGAAAAAACTGGTTTATGACCTAGAAAAAATCTAGGTCACGACCTAAAAAAAAATTGGGTTATGGCTTTAAAAAATTGGGTTATGACCTAGAAAATTTTGGGTCATGACCTAGAAAAAATTGGGTCATGACCTAGAAAAATTGAGTCATGACCTAGAAGAAATTGGGTCATGACCTAGAAGAAATTGGGTCATGACCTAGAAGAAATTGGGTCATGACCTAAAAATATTGGGTCATGACTTAGAAAAATGGGGTCATGACCTAGAAAAAACTGGGTCATGACCTAGAAAAAATTGGGTCATGACCTAGAAAAAATTGGGTCATGACCTAGAAAAATTGGGTCATGACCTAGAAGAAATTGGGTCATGACCTAGAAGAAATTGGGTCATGACCTAAAAATATTGGGTCATGACCTAGAAAAATGGGGTCATGACCTAGAAAAAATTGGGTCATGACCTGAAAAATTGGTTTATGACCTAGAAAAAATCTAGGTCACGACCTAAAAAAATTGGGTTATGGCTTTAAAAAATTGGGTTATGACCTAGAAAACTTTGGGTCATGACCTAGAAAAAATTGGGTCATGACCTAAAAAAATCTAGGTCATGACCTAGAAAAATTGGGTCATGACCAAAAAAAAACTGGGTCATGGCCTAGAAAAATTTGGGTCATGACCTAGAAAAAATTGGGTCATGACCTAGAAAACTTTGGGTCATGACCTAGAAAAAATTGGGTCATGACCTAAAAAAATCTAGGTCATGACCTAGAAAAATTGGGTCATGACCAAAAAAAAACTGGGTCATGGCCTAGAAAAATTTGGGTCATGACCTAGAAAAAATTGGGTCATGACCTAGAAAAATTTGGGTCATGACCTAGAAGAAATTGGGTCATGACCTAGAAAAAATTGGGTCATGACCTACAAATATTGGGTCATGACCTAGAAAAATGGGGTCATGACCTAGAAAAAACTGGGTCATGACCTAGAAAAAATTGGGTCATGACCTAGAAAAATTGGGTCATGACCTAGAAGAAATTGGGTCATGACCTAGAAAAAATTGGGTCATGACCTACAAATATTGGGTCATGACCTAGAAAAATGGGGTCATGACCTAGAAAAAACTGGGTCATGACCTAGAAAAAATTGGATCATGACCTAGAAAAATTGGGTCATGACCTAGAAGAAATTGGGTCATGACCTGAAAAATTGGTTTATGACCTAGAAAAAATCTAGGTCACGACCTAAAAAAATTGGGTTATGGCTTTAAAAAATTGGGTTATGACCTAGAAAACTTTGGGTCATGACCTAGAAAAAATTGGGTCATGACCTAAAAAAATCTAGGTCATGACCTAGAAAAATTGGGTCATGACCAAAAAAAAACTGGGTCATGGCCTAGAAAAATTTGGGTCATGACCTAGAAAAAATTGGGTCATGACCTAGAAAAATTTGGGTCATGACCTAGAAGAAATTGGGTCATGACCTAGAAAAAATTGGGTCATGACCTACAAATATTGGGTCATGACCTAGAAAAATGGGGTCATGACCTAGAAAAAATTGGGTCATGACCTAAAAAATTGGTTTATGACATAGAAAAAATCTAGGTCACGACCTGAAAAAATTGGGTTATGGCTTTAAAAAATTGGGTTATGACCTAGAAAAATTTGGGTCATGACCTAGAAAAAATTGGGTCATGACCTAGAAAAATTGGGTCATGACCTAAAAAAATGGGGTCATGACCTAGAAAAAACTAGGTCATGACCTGGAAAAAATTGGGCCGTGATCTAGAAAAAAAACAGAACCATCAAGAAAACATTCCGTAAACACTCATGACCACCCAAACCGTCCACTTTGCGCTCGTTTATCTTGGTTCCTGTAACAGATATCAAAAAGTTTTCAACTGGCAAACTGTTTATCATGTTATCTGTTGCATTATATGGATACTTCCAATAGTTTTATATTTGATCTACCAAATTATTTGTGATCTACCCACCTAAGAAGAGCGCCCTTCTCTGGCACTCTTCTTCTTAGTTGTTTCATTGATCAGAACCCCTCTTTCTTTGGGGCTGACAACCATTCTCGGTCTGTCCTAGTCTCCCAGCCTTTTCTACTTTTCCCCCTCTATTCTCGTACATTTTTGGTACCTGAATAAATCTGTATTCTATAACTACTATTCGCATTCCTTGAGCCGGCCAGAATGCCGGATCCTAAGGACGTAACAACTGGCGATCAGGATGAGATTCGAACTCACGCGGGGAAACCGCAATGGATTAGCAGCGGAACTACAGTCAGATTGAGAAAGAAGCTTTCGGACTCATCACGGCTGTCACGAAGTTCCACAAATTTCCTTTATGGCCGCCACTTCACTCTGAAGACCGACCACAAGCCATTGCTGTTAATATTTGGAGATAAAAACGGTATACCCCTTTACAGTGCAAACCGTCTTCAGCGTTGGGCTATCATTCTGCTCAACTACGACTTCACCATCGAGTACGTCAACACCAATCACTTCGGACAAGCTGATGCTCTGTCAAGATTGATCTCGGACCAAATCCAGCAAAAAGAATGTGAAGTATACTGTATCAGGTTTGTGGCCCAAAATCATTGATAAAAGCTCACAAATCTCTTTTTTCCACCACCGACGAGATCAACTGTCAATCGTGGCCGACTGCATCATGTTCAACGACAGGATCGTCATTCCCAGTACTCTCAAGGCAAGGGTTCTCAAAATGATTCACCGGGCTCATCCTGGAATCGTGAGGATGAAGCAGTTGGCGCGATCTCTCGTATACTAACCATCCATCGATAAGGACATCGAGAACAAGGTCAGAAGTTGTGACCAGTGTGCATCAGTCGCTAAGAATCCAATAAAGAACACTCTATGTTCTTTGCCAATCCCAACTGCTCCATGGCAAAGGGTACACGCTAACTATGCTGGACCACTGGATGGAACTTACTATTTGGTCGTGGTAGACGCATTCTCCAAATGGCCTGAAGTCTTCCCAATCACATCCATCACAACTACAGCTACAATAAATATTCTGAGAAAAGTGTTTTCACAATTCGGAGATCCGCAAACGCTGGTAACCGACAACGGAACTCAGTTCACTTCATCTGGTTTCGAAAACTTCTGCAAGGATCGAGGAATCACACATTCATGATCACCACCATTCCATCCGCAGTCAAATGGTCAAGCAGAACTTTTCGTGGACACTCTCAAACGGAGCTTAGGCAAGTTAAAAGGGGAGGAAAACGCAGATACTGCCTTATATGTATTTCTGCAGAGCTATCGCTCAACTCCTTGCACCTCCAGCCCTAATGGCTCTACACCAGCTGAGAACTTCATTGGTCGCAAAATCCGAACATTTCTGGATCGAGTACGCCCGAAAGACCAACTTCCCAACTCGCATGATACTGAGATGGAGAAGCAGTTCAACAAGCAACATGGTGCACGATCAAGAAGCTACCAAGTTGGAGAAAAGGTTTATGTTAAAGACTACCGTAACATAAATACTGCCACTTGGATTCCAGGTACTATCCAGAAGTGCGTTGGACAAACGATGTACCACGTCGCAGTCAACGACACCGTCTGGACCCGACACGCCAATCAGCTCCGAAGACGTGACGCTCCAATCCAATTCGACGTGCCCTGGACACAATGGATCCAATCGATGTGACACCTACGGCTACTCAACTTCCGAGCAGCTCCACAGATACCACGCCATCTCCAGTGAACACTCCAGCTAAGCCGAAAACTCCACCGCCCAAGCAATACCGGAAGTCTACTCGGATTATCAACCAACCTCCACGTTTGGTCATGAAGTATAATCAAAAGTCTTATCATTGATTTTTGTTCCCTTTATTTCTAGATTAAGTTTGTAGTCTACCCCCCACTTAATCATCCTTTCCCTTGTCCTTGTTCCATCTTAAAAAGGGAGGTGTTGCATTCTATGCATACTTCCATTAGTTTTATATTTGATCTACCAAGTTATTTGTGATCTACCCACCTAAGAAGAGCGCCCTTCTCTGGCACTCTTCTTCTTAGTTGTTTCATTGGTCAGAACCCCTCTTTCTTTGGGGCTGACAACCATTCTCGGTCTGTGCTAGTCTCTCCCAGCCTTCTCTACTTTTCCCCCTCTATTCTCGTACATCTTTAGTACCTGAATAAATCTGTATTCTATAACTACTATTCGTATTCCTTGAGCCGGCCAGAATGCCGGATCCTAAGGACGTAACATTATCATTAATATTTTGTCAGTTGATTACTTTTTTATATCTTTCACATAAGCCGAGATATATGGGCTCAAATTTAGCGAGTTGAGTGGCCTTCCATTAGAGTGTTTACGGTAAATGTCTTCGTTTTTTTCTGTATTCTCGAAAAGACTTACATGCATTAGGATCATATTTACAAAGCGCAACAGTACCACTCGTTTGTGAGCACAGTATCATATCATCCCACTGTCCAGCTACGTATCCATCAATATAGTGCAATTCATCGTATTCCCACAACTACAAATACCTTACTGGATAAAAAGTTGAAAAGTCGTGCATACTGTCACACAACTGTATTCAGCAAACTCGGATTGAGGATAATGAGGCTGCCAAAACCAAAAGTCAACTGGGGTCCCGTCGGTCCAGATGTAGGTCACATTGTCACACTAAATTTTAAAATAATACAAATCGATAAGCCAAATACAAAATGAATATACATCTCTTCTCATACCAATCCATGCATCCATGTGGCCGCTTTTGTCCCGGAATTGGGCTGAAAAAACTTACTCATTTATTATATTAACTGTTGTGTTTGTGACTAATTAAAAAATATATTGGAGAATTTTCTTGAAAGACGAAAAATGTGATTTTGTAAATTTTGTGACTGTCTTCAGAATAGGCAGAAGTTATTTCATGAATAACATATACGGAAACTTATATTTGGCAACGCAATTATTTAAATGCATTTTTTCAAACAAATAGATTGTATCCTTGATTCCAAGTCTTACCATTCAACCATCTGCTTTCAGCTTCATTGTGAACTGACGCTAGATGTCCTCCGGATACTTCTTCGACACAATACTCCTCACCAGCGTACCAGGACATTTCTTTTTTTGATTGTTTGTAGCACATCCCATTAACAGAATATCTCGTCCATCCCGAGGCACAAGGTGCTGTTCCCACTTCATCTGACAGTATCAGCAGGTTGGATGAAGGGTCAAATAGTACAGAACTCGGAAGATCTAGTTGAGATTTAAGAATTGAGTTCAAATCTGGAAATATTGAAAGGAAAGTGATAACCCATCAAAATTCGAATTTCATTAAAACTCGAATTTTCAAACATACCATCATCTTTTGATCCTCTGATTGCTCCACGATTATGCTTCAAAAAATTCCCAATCATGGCCTGCTTTCCAACCTTCTCCTCTTTGAAACTGTGGTTTTTTAAAATTCAGCTTCTTAAAACTCACCAATTGCCATGTTCCAAACACCAAAACATAGTGCTAATAAAATATGAAGATCTAAAACCAACTGGTTCATTACTTTCCTTTTCCAATACAGAATGGTCACCTGTTGTTTGTGAAGGACCTCCCCTCGTATTCAAAAATCGGATAAATGAATGATCGACCTCTGATAATCCGTTCTTGCATACCGGAAGTTCTGAGAGTACATAATTTTGTATGTAGTTTTGAAATCATCGAAATGTGGGATCAGGTTAAATTTTAAAGAGTTTAAAACCCCCAATTTTCTCACAAACACCAAAAACCTTTTGTTGGTTATTGGAAAACTACTGGGCATCCTTGTATAAGTATAAATGTTTTCATCATATAAGTTTGTGTCCGGCGCTTCAAACGTCTGACTGCTGCGACTACGGCGTGAGTTCGTCGCTTCGCTTCTCACTTTTTTGGCACCTTTTCGAATTGAAAATTTAAATCTTTTCTATGATTTGTTCTCATTGTACTTCAGGCCTACCAACCTCAAAAGTGTTATGGTAGATCCATTTTTGTTTGGCGGACTTTTTTCCGGAATGAAACTTCCCTCCTGGGGAAACGGAATGAAAGACAAAGAAGGAAAGAGACACCACTTTATTTATTCATTTTAAAAACGCTTATGATAAGAATGATTTTACTTCAAGTTCAATAACATTATTTTCATATTGCTTTTTCACAGATACCAAATTCTTTCACACTTGTACAAGCATACGATTTCCAAACTCCTCGTTTTGAATAAATTCCGTTGTCTGATTGGCTAAGAATTATCTGAAACTTATAAATTGATGTAACTTAACGTGTAACCTGACTACCGTGAGACATGATCCAGCGGACGATGTAGATCCAAAAGCCAAATTGCTGTACCCTCCAGATGCACTTATCCAAGCTTCTTCGAGTGTGATACTCAATGTGTTGGTGCTGAAGGCTACTGAAAACATACCAAGGGGAAATTTCTTTGCATCCGAAAATTATTTTACATCTCAAAGCTTCATTGATTCCAGCACCACTGACATCTGCTAGTTTTCCACCCAACCGCACACATTCCGAATTGAAATCTGCAGATCTTCCAGGTCCTTGAATTTTCTGAAAGATATATTTTTCAAAGTTTTCCTTTTCGTGAAATAAAGTTACAGAAAACTCACCGAGTAACACAAATTGTTATAAGCTACCCAGTTAGTTGGGCATTTGCTTTCACATTTTGCAGTGTCGAATGGAGTTGTAATTTTTGTTGTAGAAGTCGGTGTGGTTGTAAGAAGAGACGTCGTTGTCATATTTGTATGAGTGGTAGTTGTTGGAGTCGTTGTAGTCGTTGTAGGTGTGGTAGTAGTTGTTGTAGTAGTCGTCGTAGTTGTAGAAGTCGTAGTTGTGGGAGTAGTTGTTGTAATTGTAGGAGTGGTAGTAGTCGTGGTGGCTGTCGTAGTCGTCGGAGTGGTCGTTGTAGTGGTAGGAGTGGTTGTGGTAGTCGTCGAGGTCGTTGTCGTGGTCGTCGGCGTAGTAGTTGTTTCCTATAACCGGATTGTATTTGAATAATTTTTTAAGTAGAATTTTCTGTCTAGCAATGCTCTCAAAATGCGTCTGCTTAGAAGACTTCCCGTAGTAGTGGTAGTAGAGGGATCCGTGGTAGTGGTGGTCGGAGATGGTGGTCGTTGTGGAAGTTGTGGTCGTGGTTGTGGGTGTTGTAGTAGTCGTGGTGGGAGTTGTAGTCGTAGTCATAGTTGTAGTAGTTGT